GAGCAAACACTGATCAACTTGGTCACGCATATGGCTATGGGTCTGATTGGTTCAACATAACGTTGGTCCCTGAGCGCCTTGTTTCTTAGGGCTGCCTCGTGGCTAGGCTGCTGATGTCGTGCAGCATAAGGCAGATGACATGCGTAGTGCAAACAGAGCTACAGATCTAAACACTCTTGCATTCTCGAGCAAGATCCCAACAACAATCATCTAATCAACGTAAAGAAACGCGAATCTCCATACATTCATTCACTGTGGAAGGTACGAAAATGAGATATGCTCAGGGGCAAAAAGATGGATCGCTGAACAATATACATGCATCCACCGTTCACAAGACAAGAAGACGGGGTCCTTGCATAGGGGGGGACTACCCAGGAAACTAATGGAAGAGTTTCGGAAGAAGTTCTTTCACACAGAAACATCATGCAGACTCATTCTCATGCAAGGGAGAGACAATCATCCAGACGCATCATCATTCAAAGATAGGGGAAGGTGAGGGAGGAAAGTCGAGATGGGAGATAACACAACCCAAAAGAAGGAAGTTCAGCGTTGCCGCCGTGCACTCACACCAGAAAAAAAATCTTCAACAATAAAGGCGCATTCGCCGTTAATTCCAATATGGCCTCGGGCCAATCACTCACTCAACTCCACTCATCGAACATCATACCCGCACCGACGATCCCGACCATCGTGTGCTAACTGCCACCACTGTGATCGTCACCTCGCTGACGTAAACTCGACGCGGTTCGCCCAGATCCCACAGTCCGTCGTGGTGATCAAGCGCGCAACCAGCCAGCCTATCGTCAGCTCGACAGGACTTTCCGACTCGCACCAACTTAGAAGTGGAGAATGTAAGAGAGATTTGCGGACGCGCTTGCGGGTTCTATAGTTGCGACAGGGGAGATAGAAGGGGGAGAAGGCGACAGGAAAGCTGAGGTGTAAGAGGAGAAGCAGGAGGAGAAGACTTTGAGAAGAGTGCTCTACGAACGCCGTGTTGATCTCTCGGAACTCAAGGTTCAACCAATCAGATTCATCGTGCGATAGGAAGGTCCTATCGATCCATGCACCTGATTGGCGAGCGGGAGTTATCGGGGGATTGACCGGGCGTCGTACACCTGATTTAGAGGGTGAGAAGAGAAAAGGCGCGAGAGGTGGCACAAGACGGGTCCAAGATTCAGACGATGAAGAAAGGGAAATGGGCGCGCGAAAGCAAGGCGGGAGAGAGAGAGAGGGAGAAGGAAAAACAGTTACGGGGAGAGAGAGAAAGAAGGGAGAAGGGAGGGGAGGCGCGGGAGGGAGCGATGTGGGGACAAAGAGGAGGAAGCTTTTGCATGCACGGTGTCGTTAACAAAAAGGAAAAAAGGCACCGAAACAGTTACAGCTTGCTTCTATCCTAATTCAAAATTGAAATCACCATATCCGCGCGAGAAAAAACGACGCGGGAAAATAAAATCCTACGCCTATTCGTACTCACGTAAAATTCTGAGAGGTTTCCCCGATGCGCCCAAGCACATTCACACACCTAAAAAGGACACGTCGAAGTTCCGCTTATCCCGGAATTCCCAACTACCGAGCCCAATTCCCAGTGCGCTTGCTAAGGCGCACTTAAATTCCCATGAATTTCCCGACTTTGCAAAAAAGAAAAACAGGACTCAGCAGTCGGAAAAAGCTCTCGAAAATGAAAATGCAGCCCCCGAAAGCAAGAACTCAAAACGGGGTTAATTTGGGGTTGGTATGATACAAGCAAAAGAAAGGGTACGAAAGATGGCACGGGGTCGGGAAGTGGTTCGTCACATATGTGACGCGCAGGGGGTTCCAATATTATGCGATCTCCTGATTGCATGTCATGGCGAAGAAGAAGAGGGGAGAACAGAGTGATGCCTGAGGAACCAAGCGTATCAACAGAGCAGAAAGAACTACAAGGAACGATAACTGGGCCGCGGATGAGATGGCAACAACATCCGTGGCAAGATCTCTGTAGCCCTGTCATATGCAACCCTCTGCCTCGTGGAGATCGTCCAGGTGACGCCATCATGGTCCATCCGATCTCCGTGTGCTCTGCACCCCTGCTCGTTGCTGTCCGTCGAATCAGCGCGTAGGTTGACGTCGTCATCGATGGCGTGATCTTCGCGAAGCTTACTGATTCGTGCCGATGGAGGGAGGAGAGAGGGGGGGGGGTTAGGTGAAAGGGGATCTACCACTGCCTAGTTGGGATAGGCCAGTAGAGGCGGTACATGCCGGGGATCTGGCGGGATGACGGGGAGGGAGTGGGGGTAGGAAGCGATTCATCCCTTCCATAGTCACCGGGAGCTCCTCATATCGGATGATTCGGTGGAAGCGGGGGAAATGATCGCCACTGCGGGGGAGGGAAGCGAGGTAATCGCGATAGAAGGAGGAGAAGGTGCGGAAAAATGCCGCTCGGAAGATCTCGAAGTGGCGACAGGCGGGGATTGTCCCCGTGGCAACGTAATAGACCTCCACCACGTTGGATTGTTCCCATGCAGCGTTGAACAGCAGGAGATGCCAGCAAAACGTAGGAGCAGCGGACCGAAGGGAGGCGTGGGGGTGGACGGTGGCGAGTAGACGGGTGGAGTAGAAGTCACGGAAGAGATGTGGATGGAAAGGATGGGAAGGGAAGGTGACGGGGGTACGGATATGCTCGAGGGTGAGGAAATCAAGGGGTCGGCGGGACAGTGTCCGAGGACGAAGGCCTATCGCCCGCATCGGTACGTGGGCGAACTGTGGGACGCGTGGGGCTGGAGGAGGAGGGGGATCGGCGCCGTCTCCGTCGCGCGACACTTGAGGTGGTGGCTGCAGGGTCGCCATCTTCGGGCTTCGACGACTCTGGTTCCCGGGTCGGATCGTTACCAAGGCGCAGGCTAGCTTTGCTGGCGAACTCCAGCTGACGCTTTCCGAAGGCAATTTCTTCGCGTTTTCGTGCCACTTCCCGATCTTCCACCTCCGTTCCCGTACGCGTTGCTTCTTCCGGCGGGGCTTCCCGCTCCGATCCGGCTCTTTCTTCTTCCTCATCCTCCTTACTCAGCTCGCCCTCGCTATGTTTACTATAGCTTCCCTCCTCCGATATTTCCTCGTTGTCGCCTTCTTCTTCGTCGTTGTCGATGATCGGCGCTTCTTCTGCCCTTGGGTAGAAGGCGTAGGGGATCTCGTACGGCTTCAGATACTTCTGCCGCGATGGTAATGTATCCTCGTCGCTAGGTTCCTTCAAGCCTGAAGTCCACTGAAGGTACGGATCCAAGGATCGCTCGAAAATGTACGGAGCAGGACTGTTGTCACTCTGAAAGTACATGTCGGGCGAGAGGTCGTCCGCCAATTGCACGATCAGTGCGATGAGCTCCTGTGCAATCAACTGACGGCGACCTGGTTGCACCGATCCAAAGAGAAATCCAATAAGATCTCCTTCCTCGTTAGTCCTCCACCCCTGTATGATCAGCAGCTCTGGGTTCTCGGTCCACATGGGATACTCGATAGTGCCCGTCCACTTCACTTGTACTCGGGCCAAGTAGAAGGACAAGTCCTCAAGAGTTTCGCGCCACAGCCGCCAATATCCAGGGTTGATATAAGGGACCGAAAGAGGCTCGGATGAGAAGGAGAGAGAAGGGTGAAGATCGGATTGCCAGAAGGTGGGGAAGAGAGAGGGAAGACCAAAGATAGAAAGAGGAGCGAGGAGATGGGCGTGGTTCATTGGGGACGAGGGAAGGGAACGATGACAGGAATCACAACAGGCCGCTCGCTCGGTGATCGGCGAATACCGTCGATATCCAATGCAGAGATCGGAATGATGTTATACCCTTCGCGGGCGAGGACGTGCTGCCACACATTGGACACTTGCTCCGTCCACTCACGCAGCGAGGCCAAGATCTCGGTATGCCTCAGCGGATTGACCGAGCTGATGTCGCCGGTGAATCCTGCCACTGTGGTGACGTGGCTCGTTCTGGGACCCGCTCGCCGATGAACTGCAGTAACCTCCGCGACTACTATCGCGTGAGGGCTCCCTTCTATCCGAAATGCAGCGACGGCACAGACACCTTCGTCGCAGAAGAATCGCATCAAACGGCGGAGATCCGTATTGAGCCGAGGGTGACAAACTTGCCGAATTTTTGAGAGGGGGCCACGTGGCTGCCGCAGCTGTAAGTCAAGAACTCGCTCCGTGATAAAACTCATGGCGAGGTCGGAGAGGAGGATGAGGGACAGGAGGAGGGAGAAAGAGGACAGAGGGTTAGATCATCGTCGTTTTCCTCGCTTTCCGAGGAAGAAGAGGGAGGAAGATCGGAAGGAGGAAGGAGACGGAGGTAGGAGGTATGTCGGACGATGGGGACGGAGCTATGGCTGGCGCTAGCCTCTGGTGCGATGCGCACCATGTTGGCGCCGTTGGGTCCGAGTTAGATAACGTGAAAACAACCAGAGAACTTAGGAGCGAGTTTCCGGTCGTGTGCACATTTACGTACCTGCACTAGGTCCCCCAATTTATATTGGTACTGGGGCCCAGCATTCCCGTTCCGAGCCTCATAGCTGCGGACCTGTCTACCGTGGGCCAGTTCGGTCATCCTTTGCCTTTTCCGGGCTAGCTTTGGAACGGTCCGTTCTATTAAGTCGGCGTACCTCTTGGCCTTGGCTTTGAGGGTCGCACGCATGTCTCTGCCCCCTGCTTCGGCAATTTCCGAGTCACCCCGGTAATCGACACAGGGGAGGCTATTAGTTCGAAGCTGAAAGGGGGTGAACCCCGTGGATTCGTGAGGGGTGGCTCGGTGGATCCCAACGATCTGATATACAATTTCGGGCCAAGGACGCGTGTCGTGTGCCGCTAAGTTTCTGCGAAGGGCGGTTTTAATCATACGGTTGGCATTCTCGGCCAACCCGTTCGACTGAAACACGTGGGGTGCCGTATGTCGGAGCGTGACGCCCCTTCACGCAAGTAGTTCTTCCACCTCACCTTTAAATTGAGATCCATTATTGGTTAGAATTTCTTCCGTATCTAGATGGGTATAGAGGAACCGTTCGATATACGTGGCTATTTCTGCGGCTTTTCGGGTCTTACAGGGATAGACTTCGATGTATTTGGAAAAGTGGTCGATTAATACTAATAAAATAGAATATCCACAGCGGTTTGGGCCAGGTGGCACGTCAATATCGGTCATGTCCATACTGACTCACTGGAAAGGACGCTCTACTTTCGTTGGTACGATCGTGTTTGGTCCCCGTATAGGGGCGCGATCAGCGGCACAGACCAGACAGTTAGCGACAATGTATTTGACATCATCTCCTTTATTGGACCAGAACCATCGGTTCTGGTCTACAGTTGCCTCCGTGACGCGTATCGCGAAATGAGCGGCCTGTTCCTCGTGAGCAGATCGGATCCAATCGTATTTCTGGAAGGGGTGGGGAACTGTCAGCCACGAACCCGATCCGTCAGTTTTATGCTTTTCTAAATGACCGTTGATCCATCGATAGTCCCGAGATCTCTTGGTTGCCCTACGTCTGTCGTGTTTGGTGAGGTGGCCCAAAAATAATCCTGCTAATTTTGCCAATAAAATTTTATCTGTCCAAACCTCCGCTCGTCGATATTATTCGTCGTATTCAGGGCCGTCCATACGGGCGGCCTCGAATCGAACCTCCGTGGGGAGTTTGTTCGTTCTACATAGGGGGCACCTCCATTCCTTGCTACTTGTCCGATATCGTATGCAGGCCCCGTGCGCACGATTGACACACGTGGCACATTCTACACAATCGACAAACCCAATTTCGAAGGGATGACAGTCGACCCCATAAACCCGTGCAATGCACATGCAAAAAGAACAGAATTTGTCGGGGAGGGTGGCAAAGAAAGCTGAGGAAGTAAGAGGGGCAGAATTAGTAGGAGAAGAAGGGGTGGTGAAGTCAGACGGGGTAGTCATGATAACAGGGGAAGAGACGGGTCTGAATTGTGGAGAGAGTAGAGTAGGCAAATTAATCCTCGTGTCACTTACTGCTTCGACAAAATCTCCACTTGGCCGTACTGGGGTCCAATCTTCTGCTCGGGTTCGTTCCACGGAATCACCTCCTCATTCCTCGAAACTTTCTCAGGCTGGTGCAGTCGTGTCAATCCATCCGCATTCCCATGTCTCTCGTGCTTCCGATGACGGATGTCAAAGTCCATGCTCTGCAGCACCGTTGCCCATCGCCCAATCATGCCCGAGTAATCCTTCGACCTCTTCAGAGCCAACAGGGGCTCATGATCAGTCACCCGGGTGAATTTTCGCCCATATAGGTAAGCACGAAAGTGACTGATTCCCCAGAGAGCCGCATAGCATTCTCCCGTCGGAGCGGCGTAGTTGCGCTTGCAGGCGGGTACTGATTTGGACGCATACTCCACCACACTCCCGTGTCCGCTTGGTCCCACCTGGGCAAGGATCGCCGAAATCGCCTTTGGCTGCCAGTCGGTGATGAGGACAAAAGGTTTTTCAGGATCCGGTCTTATAAGGACCGGAGCCGAAATGAGAGCAGCCTTGAGTTTGGAAAATGCTTGATCGCACTCCGACGTTCAGATCAACGGCTGATCCTTGCGTAGGAGATTTGTGAGGGGTCCCGCAATCGCCGCGAAGCCCTTGATAAATCTTCGGTAATACTAGGCTAGGCCCAGAAAGGCGCAAACTTGCGTAATAGTGGTAGGTACTAGCACGTCCCTGAAAGCTGCCACCTTTTGCGGCTCCGGTTGGAGTCCTTTGTCTGTCACCACGTGCCCCAGGAAGGAAATGGTGGTGAGAAAAAACTGACTCTTCTCAAGCGCCACCTTGAAATCGGCATCTCGTAACGCATGAAGTGTCCATTCCATGTGCTGCACGTGTCCTTCATAGGACCTCGAATACACCAAGATGTCATCCATGTACACAATCACGCAGTAGTTGATGATGCTCTGTGCCAAACGAGTTTACCGTACGAAGTTCTGAAAGGCCATATTCATGGCTCGCTGAAAAGTCGCAGGGGCATTGCAGATACCCATCGGACATCAAATCCATTGCCACGTGCCTTCGAAAAGTACAAACGCTGTTTTCGGTCGATCTTCCTCTCGGACAAGAAGATGATGGAACCCATGACGAACATCAAACTTGCAGAAAAATCGAGCACTCCCAATCGCATGCAATAACTCATCAATCCGGGGGAGGGGATACACATCTTCAATCGTGATATTATTCAGCTTTCGATAATCAATGCAAATGCGAATCCCTTGGTCCTATAGCGGGCTCGATCCATCCATTAGCTTCGAACTCCTTAATCCGCTGAAAGGCGGCCGCTCGTTGAGCTGGCGAGTATCGGTAGGGAGCGCAGCTAATGGGCAGATGATCTCCCGTGAGAATGGCATGTTCAATTACATTAGTTAACCCAATATCATTGTCATGCACGCTCAGCACTTCTGCGTAACCATTCAATACACAAATCAACGACTTCCGAGTTCCGCGGGAACGTGACTCGGGAGGGGGATTGTTGATTCCTTGGACATATTAAGGGGCATATCGATCCAATCAACCGGCCGTTCCTGTCTTTCATAAACACTAGAAAAGACGGAACTACAGGTGCGAACAGAAAAGACAGTTGCTATCATTTGGGACTCAGCGGGACTGATCATCTCCGTTTCTTTAGTTTCAGCGTCAGTTTGTGACCCAACCGAAGTTGGTTTCACAGTTAGTCCTGTTAGATCCGTCATTTCTTGCATTAGATTTGGCACGTCACTTACGGATGCTTCCGCTTCTTGTTTAATCAATGCGATAGTGGCTCCTGTCGTTAGTAATGATCGGGGTGGAAAAACGGAAACGTCCAATACTGTTTCATTTGCTGATAACGTGCTCGTAAGGAAAAAGCTCCCTCGTACAAGGTGCGAGGGGGTTCCAAATCATCGGCCAGATCGGAGACTTGTAATATGGGTTCACCGAGGAGAACTGAAGGACTGACCTGGGTTGTTAGAGGCATGAACGCACTGTCTTCAGAGTCCATGTGGAAGCTTCGAGCGGTGTCGGGGCACACTCGAAATTCTTCAGGGATTTCATGTTCGAAAAGTTCAACCAGATGCTTCCATTCCTCTTTACTGGGCATCTCTTCTCCGTATTCTTGCTCCCTGACTCCGTTTCCGAGGCGCGAGAGGGAGCATTCCTCGGGATCAATGCGTCGGATCATCCGTATTTGGGGAGAGTTAGGAACCCGCTTTCTTGTTCGGGTAGAAACCCGCAAAGAAACAGTCTGAGGTTTTTCCTCAGTTTGTGTGAGCACCAATTCTTTCGAATTGAAGTGCAGACGTGCGCCCACCGCCATCGCCCAAGGTAATCCCAACAATACCGAGTAGGAACGTACATCTATTACGAGCGCGTTAACCAGGACATGTACTCGCCCGACCTTTATAGCTACGTTCTCGATAACACCCACGATGTTCATTGCTTCCTCGTCTGCAGAGACATAATTGTCTTTGCCATATTGAGGAAGCATGGATCCAAGTCGTCTCGTCTTTTTGATAGTATCTAACGATATGGCTACTGCAAAAGACCCCGTGTCGATCAAGGCGGTAAACGGCTTACCCCAAACTTCACAATCACATTCCGCACTTTTCCATAGTACCGGCCGAGCTCGTATGAAGTGATCCTTTTCTGCTATAGAGATGGCGGCAGGTTCCTTAGTATCCAGCTCAGGGGATACCACTTCCTCAGTTTCTTCTTTCTTTTTCAACATTCGTTGTATGCGTTGATAGGTAAAACGCTTTTGATTTTTCTGGCAGTATTGTAAAAGTTTCTCGTTCGCCGTTTCAGATATGGTGAGTAGATGTCCTACGGGGATACGAACGCGGATGTCTAACTGCTTGAGCGTTTTCAGTATATCAATGTCTCCTGTCCGAAACTGTGGTCCTGGATTGGATTCGCGATCGACCTACTCGAGATCATCTGGGACCGATCGGATGGCTCCTATCATGCCTGCGAGATGGAGATACTCGAGAGGATCGACCACGTCAGCAGCGTCGGGGGAAGAAGCCCTCGATGTTGACGCCATTGTCATCGAAGGGGAGAGCTGCTCTGTGGTATACGCCACGAGTTCTCTTTCTCGATCCGTATCCATCAGAGCGGCCACTCGTCCTTGATTAAGGGCGACGGGGGCCGCAGCAGGGGGAGGCTGATTACGTTTTGGCTGTGGACAGTCCCGGGCGAAATGCCCGGGCTGTTTGCAATTAAAACACTCAATCCTTCCAACCGGATTAGCTAGATGAGGAAACTGAGGTGCGAATCCTGGAGCCTGGGGAGCAGGTAAGATTGGAAACGATGCAGAGGCAGGCTGAGCAGGAGCTGGGTTAGGCTTAATGAGCCTGCTCATTATCTGTTCCATCCGTTCCATATGAGCGGCCTGTATTTAGATCAAGTTGCTCATCCATTTGGACTGCTTGGTAGTGGCCGTATGGATCATCTGGGCAAGGTGTAAATTTGTTACTGCAGGCGAGGGGGGTTCAGATGAAGTTCCGCTCCTAATGGCTGTGATAGACTGATTCACGGGGGGAGATGGAGGAAAAGCAGTTGGGATATCGGAAACGATTCCGCTGGGAAGGTCAGGGTCGGGGCGGGGATAAAATCGTTCGACCGCCTGCCACCATAATCGCCTTTTAGCCGTTACATCTCGTATGGTATCCGTAATGTCTTCGTCTCCCTGGTTGATATATCTTTTTGTATCAGCCAAGTCTAGCTCCAACGCTTTAGTAATGATAGCCGATAACTGGGTTGTTTTCGGCGGAACTTTTTTCTGTAGTTTCCCTTTCAAGGTCGGACTTCGAAGGTGATCAATAAACAGATCTCGAGCATATTTCTCGTCCCGCCCGGATTTATCCAATGTGGTTTGAAATCGATCAGCGAAATCGGGTAACAGTTCCCCTGGTCCTTAAGGTCGATTTTTTAGCACGTACCAGGCGGCATCTTCACTAACTGTGTCGAATCGAGCCAAGAATGCACGCTTAAAAATCTCCCAATCTACCCACGTGCGTTTCCTAAACCAGTCATGCGACGTATTACGAAGTAGCAATGTCAGAAATCGGGGGAGATCAGTTGCACTGTAGTTTTGAGCTTCGACAGCTTCCAGCCAAGCCTCGGGATGGGTATGGTTGGGGAAGAAGGGGAAGGGGGCAGGGATGCTAACGATCACCCTCGTACCGTCTACCATTGTTGCGGGCGCAGCCGCTCCAGACTGAGACCTGGTCACTGGGCGATCTCGACGAGCTAATGGAGGGTCTCTCCTACCTCTCGCCAGTTCGGCTTACTATCATCAGAACCGACACGTGTCGGCTCCGATACCAACCTCACGCCCTGTGCTGTCTTCCGTTCGGAGTGTTAGCTGTGCAGAAAAGAGGCCCAGAAAAACAACAAGATGGGGTGTGCCAAGGACTTTTGGAAATTGAGTGTGGGGACACAGACAGAACTGAGATCCCCCGTGTTGGTCCGATGGAGCAAGTCGACTGTTTTCGCGCGTCGCAGAAGGTGCGCGCAGGCAAGGTGGGAAGGAGGGAAAAATCCAAATTCAATCCAAAAAGTATTGCCGTGCCTCCCATCGGGCTACCGTCCGTCATTTAGAACGGAAAGGCTTGGGCACGCTTCGCGTATCTCGTTTCCGTATCAGGTCTCGTCGTCGTTCACTGGTTAGTTCTGAGTCCGACGTGGATGGTCTCAGCCGTGTGGCTCTTTTTTTGTGCTCGTCTTCACTCCGTATTCGGTATTGAAAGCCTTTCGATTCATAGTGATCGAAGCGCTAGCACTCAGTGCACAAGGTTCGAGGCCAATGAGGCGCCACTGCCGTCCACGGAATGACGATCAATTCGTTAAAGGGGAGCAATATCGAGTAGGGTGGGAAGTGGGTATCGATAATGACAAAGCCCGCATCCATGAATCCAGAGCAACGATTTTCGGGAGGGAAGAAGTAGTGTCCACCGATTCCTGCGACCGCTTCTCGTACGTCCCACTCGCAGACACGTGTCCTTTCCTCACTGTAAGGAAAAGATCGCATTGGGATGGGAGATACGGGACGCTGGCGCCCAGTCGGAGGGTACTCGTTGGTCCACACGTCAATCAATCACGAAATATCTTGAGACGTCATTAAAAAGCGATCCGCGCGTCCCTTAATCAATATTTTTGACACGAGAGAGAGAGAGAGAGAGAGAGAGAGAGAGAGAGAGAGCAAACACAGATCAACTTGGTCACGCATATGGCTATGGGTCTGATTGGTTCAACACAACGTTGGTCCCTGGGCGCCTTGTTTCTTAGGGCCGYCTCGTGGCTAGGCTRCTGATGTCGTGCAGCATAAGGCAGATGGCATGCGTAGTGCAAACAGAGCTACAGATCTAAACACTCTTGCATTCTCGAGCAAGATCCCAACAACAATTATCTAATCAACGTAAAGAAACGCGAATCTCCATACATTCATTCGCTGTGGAAGGTACGAAAATGAGATATGCTCAGGGGCAAAAAGATGGATCGCTGAACAATACACACACATCCACTGTTCACAAGACAAGAAGACGGGGTCCTTGCATAGGGGGAGGACTACCCAGGAAACTAATGGAAGAGTTTCGGAAGAAGTTCTTTCACACAGAAACATCATGCAGACTCATTCTCATGCAAGGGAGAAACAATCATCCAGACGCATCATCATTCAAAGATAGGGGAAGGTGAGGGAGGAGAGTCGAGATGGGAGATAACACAACCCAAAAGAAGGAAGTTCAGCGTTGCCGCTGTGCACTCACACCAGAAAAAGAATCTTCAACAATAAAGGCGCATTCGCCGTTAATTCCAATATGGCCCCGGGCCAATCACTCACTCAACTCCACTCATCGAACATCATACCCGCACCGACGATCCCGACCATCGTGTGCTAACTGCCACCACTGCGATCGTCACCCCGCTGACGTAAACTCGACGCGGTTCGCCCAGATCCCACAGTCCGTCGTGGTGATCAAGCGCGCAACCAGCCAGCCTATCGTCAGCTCGACAGGACTTTCCGACTCGCACCAATCTACTATGCCTAGCCACTGCTTCCCGGAAGCTGGCTTAGAAGTGGAGAACGTAAGAGAGATTTGCGGACGCGCTTGTGGGTTTTATAGTTGGGACAGGGGAGATAGAAGGGGGAGAAGGTAACAGGAAAGCTGAGGTGTAAGAGGAGAAGCAGGAGGAGAAGACTTTGAGAAGAGTGCTCTATGAACGCCGTGTTGATCCCTCGGAACTCAAGGTTCAACCAATCAGATTCATCGTGTGATAGGAAGGTCCTATGGATCCACGCACCTGATTGGCGAGCGGGAGTTATCGGGGGATCGACCGGGCGTTGTACACCTGACTCAGAGGGTGAGAAGAGAAAAGGCGCGAGAGGTGGCGCAAGACGGGTCCAAGATTCAGACGATGAAGAAAGGGAAATGGGCGCGCGAAAGCAAGGCGGGAGAGAGAAAGAGGGAGAAGGAAAAACAGTTACGGGGAGAGAGAGAAAGGAGGGAGAAGGGAGGGGAGGCGGGAAGGGAGCGATGTGGGGACAGAGAGGAGGAAGCTTTTGCATGCACGGTGCCATCAACAAAAAGGAAAAAAGGCACCGAAACAGTTACAGCTTGCTTCTATCCTAATTCAAAATTGAAATCACCATATCCGCGCGAAAAAAAGCGACGCGGTAAAATATAATCCTACGCCTATTCGTACTCACGTAAAATTCCGAGAGGTTTCCCCGGTGCGCCCAAGCACATTCACACACCCAAAAAGGACACGTCGAAGTTCCGCTTATCCCGGAATTCCCAACTACCGAGCCCAATTCCCAGTGCGCTCGCTAAGGCGCACGTAAATTCCCATGAATTTCTCGACTTTGCAAAAAAGAAAAACAGGACTCAGCAGTCGGAAAAAGCTCTCAAAAAGGAAAATTCGGCCCCCGAAAGCAAGAACTCAAAACGGGGTTTTCCTGGGGTTGGTATGATACAAGCAAAAGAAAGGGTAAGAAAGATGGCACGGGGTCGGGAAGTGGTTCGTCACAGGCTTGTTGTATGGCCAAGATCAGTGCCTCCCGATGGGCTAGCACATTACGAATCCTCGAGAGTTTCCTTCTAAGGTGGTTTATGTCTACGAAATCTGATCGCTCTTGGTCCCATAAGTCTCTGATTTGCATGATCCCTCTCTTGACCCACGCTTTGCCAAAGCCTCTTAAAACGTCTGCTGCAGAAAACCACGTACCATCCTCCTGTGTGATCGCCGCATTTTCGAAGAGCAGCTGATTCAAAACTTCTTGTTTTGTTTCTGGTGGCAGTTGTTTGTAAGGCCTAACTTTGTTCCAAGCGCCCAAAAGGCCCTTCCGCAGCCGAGACTTTGGTTTCCGCTGACCAAAGGAAGGCATCTGCAAGCATAACCAGACCTTGGAGTGATCCAGCAACTCCCACTCAGTCCCAAGTATATATTCCGCAAAGACCACCTTGGTCTTAGATCCCATGTATGTCATAGCCTGAATTGGCCATTTGGCTAGAAGTGCAACGTTCTGCTGTTCCGGATCAAAGATACCTAGCCCTCCCTTTTTTCTAGGAGTCGCCACGACCTCCCAAGCCACCTTGGACAGGAAGCCTTGTTCTGCAGTGGCTTCTGGTTTCCATAAGTACAGCGCCGCCGCCTCTTTAATCTTCTTGTATGCCAAACTGCCCAAGCAATGGACCGACAGGGGGAACCATAATAGTGAGAAGGTGGATGACGACAACACCAAGGCCCTGCCAAAGAGAGACAAGTATGTCCGTCTTTCCCAATTTGCAATTCTCGCCAGAACCTTGTCCACCAAAATGTTATCTTGTATGCGCGCACAGTCTGAGAGCGAAACCTGCACTCCCAACAACCTGTCAGCAGTGATTGTTGGGACTTGGCGCATGCCCCATTCAACACACAGTTTGAAGGGTGCGGGGAGGAAATATGCAGATTTATCCCAGTTTACAGAGACTTCAGTTAAAGTACAGTATTCTTTTACTACATTACGTAGTTCATTCAAACTTATTGCTGTATTTTCGTAGGCAATCGTCAGATCATCGGCTATTGCTCCTCCCTTCCAATGGACCGAGGGGGACAGTCGAAGGCCCACAATTGATTGATTAGTTCTAATATTGGCCATCAGAACTCCAACTGTAGAACAAAGATCAAGGGGGCCAACAGACAGCCTTGTCGCAAGGAGCGGGTGAGGCCGAATTCTTCTTATTGCCGCTCATTTACTAACACCGTGGTTGTTGCCCTTGCGTACATTGCCTTCACCCATCAGCGGAGGTAGGGGCCGAATCCCATTCTCAAAAGCGACATATTGACAAAGGCCCAGCCCACTTTGTCATACGCTTTTTCCATATCTAGCATTAAAATTGCCTCATCACGTTTCTCATAGCCAATCACTTCCAGGGCCTGAACTGTGGTCAAAATATTGCCAAAGATTGAACGCCCTTTAACAAAGGCCCCTTGTTCCATCTCTACCAATGACGGGAGGACAGCAGAGAGCCGCAGGGCTAGTACTTTTGCCAATATTTTATACGACACGTCCAGTACTGAAATTGATCGCCAATTTCTGATTTCTCTTTTGTCCCTTTTTTTATACAGCAGTGAGATCATACCTTTAACCATCCCTGTCGGTAAAGTACCGGTTGACCGTGTTGTATTAAAAATATCACAAAAAAAATTACCAAATGCTCCCCAAGACGAAAGAAAAAATTCAATCGGGAGGCCATCCGGCCCAGGGCATTTGCCCTTGGCCATCTGTTTCGCCGCCCGGGTAACTTCCTCTATAGTAATTGGGTTTTCCAAATCCCTGCTAGCTCCAACCGACAACCTAGAATCTGAACAATTACAGAAGGTGGAGAAATCCGCTAGGTTCGAATCGAAGTCATCAAAGGGCCGACGTGTAGAAACGATGTCCCAAAAATATGTCATAGCATAGGAACACAGTTCCTCCGTGTCAATAGCTAGAGGTGCGCTTAAGGCAAAAGGGGTGCGAGAGCTCCCTCATGATAGGTTTGGCCTTCCTTATGATCAATGATCTAAAGGTGTCTTTTGTCATTTTATCAATTCCGATTATCCCTTTGACCTTCAGTCATTCCTGCCAATCCCTTTGTTTGCTTATTTCCAACTCTTCTAGATCTGCAAGCGCTTTGTCCCTTTTTTTTGACCAATAGTACTCCAAGAAGGGGTCTGAGTCGGAGCAATCGTCGGCTTCCTCAATGATCTTTAACAATTGTTTTTCCTTTCAATTTCTGGCGGCCGCCTTGATCCTTGAAAATTCTCG